TTGTCCTTACTTAAATTAATATTAGGTGAAAAAAAATCACTGATAAGAGTATATATTATCTATGTGCCTTGCCAGTCATGTAGTAAAGAAACAATTTTTTTTTCAAGTGAGAGATGACTTTAATGAATTATTTCTCATATAATTCTCCATGTTTATATAGGTCTTTTTTTTAAGAAACAACATTAAAAAATATATTAAAATGCTTGTAATTTTTCTTCATAGAACTCACATCATTATAATCTTATGTTGTATTCTTGGGAACTTTATACAAAGTCATATTTGAGTTCAAAGTAGAGAAAAATGCACTAAAACATGTAAAGGCTTAACATGAGGTTTTGTGTGGATGTATATATTTTCAAAGAAGGTATCATTGCTTAACCAGATTTTTTTGTTTCTTGAAGTATAAATAAAACCACATCACAATACAGAAAAGCTTGGTTTACTACTCACAAACATCAAATCTGTATTGGGCTAGAAGGGACAGAAAACTAAAATCTCTTCTTAATATCTGTTAGGCTTTAAGTAATAAAGTATATCCAGTATCAGCTCATGAAATCTTGCAGGAGCAAAATCTCCATTTTGAGAAAATGCTACATTCCTTTATCTGGTTTATTGCTTCTCTGGCAGATTTTGTTATAATTATTAGAATATTAATCACTACCAACAATGACAGACAAAACCAAAACCCTGTGTGCCAAAAATAAAAAGTGGAAGAAAAAAAGAAACATCATCATTACTGTAATTTATCAGTAAGTGCTAAAGGGGGAGGGCAGCTGGTTTTTATATGCATAAAATATTACTAATATTTCACCAAGTCTATCATTTCTCAAACTGTATACATATTGTAACTTAATAACAGTGAATAGATGGTTTATTAACTTGGAATATTCTAAAAACAATCCCACAACAGTAAAGGTAATTAAACAGTCAGTATATTCCAGTTGAATGAAACATTCTTAAAGAAGACCAATACTTGTTACACATGTAACTAGCTAGCTAATAAATACTTCTAAAAAGTCTGTAATTCAAGTAGAACCTTTTATTGATTTTGAAAATCCCCTACCATCAATTTGGAGCCAGCTTATCCCTTACTATAAACAAGCACTGAGGTAAAAAAATCAATCAGTACCTAAAAGCCTGAATAATCCAAAAATGGATAATCAGAATATAAAGAATTAAGATACCTATTTTCTAAATGGTAGCATAGCACCTAAGGCTTGACTGCTAACCAGAATCTGGCGGTTCAAACCCACCAGCCACTCCTCAGAAGGAAGATGGGGCGATCTACTTCCATAGTGATACTGCCTTGGAAACCCAAGGAGGGGTCGCTATGAATTGGGTCCAACTCCATGGCATATAACAACAATTTTCTAAATGAACCTAAAGCTAGGTTTTACAAAGCATGTCTACTCTACATAATTTAGTTTTCAGTTCTGCATACTCTTGTAAACAGACTTAATACATTTAAGATTTCTAAGCTGTACACTAAAATATTCCACTGTATATAAACTCATGTTAATTATAGATTATCTTAGCAACTTATTAAAGCTGATGGCCCATGATGTTTTATTTTTCAATACATTATTATATTAGATGTAACTGCCTATTTCTGAAAGTAAAGGATTGACCACAGGTTAAAACGAAGTTTTTCTACTTATACTTTTCAATGATTTTGATTGTCCTCCTACAAATTAGAAATCACTAACACTTTGTTGAATGAAGTATGTTGTTGTTGTTGTTATGTGCCGTCGAGTTGGACCCAACTCATAGCGACCCTTCCTTGGGTTTCCGAGGCAGTATCACTACGGAAGTACATTGCCCCATCTTCCTTCCGAGGAGTGGCTGGTGGGTTTGAACCACCAGCCTTCTGGTTAGCAGTCAAGTGCCTTAGGCAGTATGCCACTAGAGTTCCGTGAATGAAGGATAGATGACTATAGGATGGCAACTTGAGTACCCGTGAATCTCTGTCTCCCAGTGATTACAGAAATGGCTAAGGAAATATAAAATAAGGAAGTCCTATTAGGACTAAAACCTTGGGAAGGGTATCAGTGATGTCACATACCCCTACACTCCAGGGATTCCTGTAACATATAAGAGGATGAAGAACCAATATAAGAAAAGGCAAACCCACCAGACTTACTGCATGTGAAAGAATAACTCTTCTGTCTAAGAAACACGACATCTGATTGAAATGCTAAGAATGGGCCTAAAAGTAGGCAGTTAGGTGTGGGACACAATCTGGATTCCAAGGGCTTGGGTAAGTGAGGAATGTACCAACAGTTTAACCTAGCCAGTCATTCATTATTAGGAATTTAACCTAAAGAGAAAATTAGACAAATATGCAAAGATATGTTTGAAGAGGATAATCGCCATGTTTATAATACAGAAAAATGGAAATAATCTAAATGTCCATTCATTAAATTGGTCCAATACATTATTTTACCCAAATAATGAAACATTACATATATGTAATTTTTCACTGACATGAAATAATTTCCATAATATATTACTGTGGGGGGAAAAAGCAGATTAAAAATAACATGTATGTCATGAGCTTAATTTTATTACACATTAAATAGTAATTATATAAACATGTAGAGAGAGAGTTGCAAACATTCTCACCAAAATATAAGTGGAGGTTGTCTATATGTGGTTGAATAGTGGATAATCTTTACTTTCTTCTTTGTTGTTGTTGTTGTTATGTGCCGTTGAGTCAGACCCGACTCATAACGACCCCTCCTTGGGTTTCCAAGGCAGTATCACTATGGAAGTAGATTTCCCAACCTTCCTTCCGAAGAGTGGCTGGTGGGTTAGCAGTCAAGTGCCTTAGGCACTATGCTACTAGAGCTCCTTAATATTGCTTTGATTTTCTAAATAAATGTATATTGCAGGGTAATCATATAAAAGGAACCCTGGTGGTATAGTGGTGAAGCACCTGGCTGGTAACTGAAAAGTTGGTGATTCAAATCCATCAGCTGCTCCACAGGAGAAAGATGTGGCAGTCTGCTTCTGAGAAGATCTGCAGCCTTGGAAACTCTGTGGGGCAGTTCTACTCTATTCTATGGGTCTCAATGAGTTGGAATTAGACTCCACAGCAATGGGTTTGTTTTTCTTTTTAATCAGAAAAACAGATTTGTATTTTAGAAAAGCAAAGTAAATTTATTTTTTAACAGAGCGATGCCATTTTAAGGAGCTCTGGTGGTGCAGTGCCTAAGGCATTTGACCACTAACCAGAGGGTTGGCAATTCAAACCCACCAGCACTGTGCGGAAGGAAGATTGGGCGATCTACTTCCATAAATATTTACTGCCTCAGAAACCCAATGGGGCTTGCTATGAGTCAGAATAGACTCGATGACAATGGTTTGTAATGGCATTTTGGACAAATTATTCTAAGAAAATAATCAGAAAAATTCATGAAGATATAGTTTAAAAGATGTTTATTATACCACTGTTTATACTGGTAAAAAAAAACTCGCAAGAACCTAACTGATCATCACTAGCAAATGTGTTAGCTAAATTATGGAGTAGCTATGGTGTTGTTAGTTGCCATCAAGTTGATTCTGACTCATGTCAATCCCATGAGTATAGAGTATAACTGCTCCTCAGAGGTTCAAAGGCTGTGCCCTTTGGGAAGCACATCAGTAGACCTTTCTTCCAAGGTGCCTCCAGATAGGTTTGAACTGCCAAACTTTGGTTAGCAGTCGAGTTCTTAACCATTTGTGCCACTTAGGGAGCTTAATGGTACAGACAAAGTCATTAAAAATTAAGATAAAGATATATGCTACTAGCTCAGTGTCATTAGGAATGTTACTTAACTGTCAGGTGTCAGTTTCCTTATCTGTAAAATGGTGATAATGGTGATAAAAAGAGCATTTATAGTGCTTTACCTAGTATGTTAGCTTTATCCTGTTGTGAGAGGCAATGGAAAACTTGGTGTTTGTAAGCTCCCACCAGTATCACATATCTCTATTTAAAAAGCTAACATACCTCTATTTAAAAAGCTAACGACTTTTAAAAAATATTTCAATGTTGACATTCAATTTGGCTGTCAATCAAAAAAAACATGAGTTTAAGACCACAATGATAGTAAATATTAAAGCTGAAAGTAGGGAATTCCTGCAAAAGCTAGCCTTTTTTTTTCTCCTTAGAAATATTAACAAAACAAGTTTGTTTATTCATTTGCACATGTAGAAAAAGTAGTGCTGAAAGGTAGAGCCAGTAAAGACAGAAGATGAGAAAAATGATTTTCTTTTCATTTTCCACAGTGTCAGGCTGAGCTGGGATGCCTGTGACACTGAGATATGGCCTAATAAAAAGCCACCCAGGTTACAGTGACAGAGGGAACTGGAATTCTCACTCAGTTGAACAACAACAACAACAACAAATATATATATATAAATATGCATTGCTTAACATCTGTTCAGGCACTATCCGACCACATATATGTCCATGGACCAGGGCACCTACGTGTCTGAGTGCCAGGATGCCAGACTCTCATCTTTACGTCAAAACCCCACTTCTGCAGGCTGCTGCATATGGCATGGAAGCCATCCAGTCTGCAGCGATGGAGGCCTGGACTCAAGCTCTCAATCCCAGTCGCCCTGGGCTCCTGTGACTCGGCAGGTCCAGTCCTCACATTTTGCCCAGTGTGGTCCTATAGGGCACCAAAGGAAAGGTATGTGCACCAGGCACCCCGGCCCTGGCTCAGGCCCCCATGGCCCCCTTGCCTGCATGATCCCTACCCCACAAAGGTTGTCACAGGTGAGCTGGCCTTCCTTGCAGGCTGGCTTAGCAAAGAAGGTAGAGACAGCCAGGCTGGACCCAGCCAGGTGCTCACCCAACATCCAAATCACATAATATCCTATTTCATAGAACGTATGTAAATGTTAAGCAACACATACCTGTATATAAAAAGTTATATACCTTACTAGTTTGCTTTACCAGTTTTACAATTGATGTACAAACATTTAATTTATTGTTTTACGTTCTTGAAACCAACCTGCCATGGTCTTTCCCAATCCAGTGGTATAGGAAGTGCTCCAAGCCATGATCCTACAAAACTAGAAATTGTAGTGATCTGGAGACTGTTCTCCCAAATGGATGTAACACTGTAAAACACAAATATGTGAATCACTGGTGGTATATAGCCTAGCTACTGGAGACTCAAAGTAGCAGTAGCACAAATTAACACTATATATATACCTGTATACTATTCATTGAAAATAAACATCTTAAATTGATATATAAATATTTACCATGAACTACTAACAACTGATTGGTAAGACTATATAATTATACTTCTCATTTGGAAAGGTATATATGTACATATATTGTAAAACAGTCAAACAAAACTAAAGATCATTTGCAATGAGAGTCTTCTACCCACTCATATCATCACCTCCTGGTTCCCTTCCCCCAGAAGTAACTACTATTAGCAACATACTATCCTCCTAGAAATATTCTATACATGTACAAGTACACATACATATACAATTTTTGATGTATATTTATCAAAAATATAAGGAGCTCTTGTTACGCCATGGGTAAGGCATTTGGCTGCTAACCAGAAAGTCCGTGGTTCAAACCCACCCACCTCTCCACAGGAGTAAGATGGGGTGATCTACTTCCATAAAAGCTTTGGAAAGCCAATGAGGGTTGCTATGAGTCTGAATCGACTTGGTGGCAATGAGTGAGAGTTATGTACACATTATATATATGTACATGTATATATGTATACCAAAACCCAATGAAACCCATTGCCAATGAGTCAATTCTGACTCATAGTGACCTCCACTAAGTTTCCAAGACAGTAAATCTTTACAGAAGTAGACTGCCTCATCTTCTCCCCATGGAACAGCTGGTGGGTTTGAACCACTGATCTTCTGGTTAGCAGCCAAATGCCTTACCCACAGCGTGACTAGAGCTCCTTTATATATGTATATAATCCTTTAAAATAAAACTCAATTTCCTCATGCTATAAACCCAGTTTTGCTTTTTTGTTTGCCTTGTTAACAGCTATAACCAAATTCCATTGTATAGATGGAGAATCATTTACACAACTAGTTCTTCTTATGGAACGTTTAGTTTAAACTAATTCAACTAAACGTATCTGGTGGAGAAAGGGCAGGGAACAAGAACAAAATATTTCAAAAGATCCAGTGACTCTTTCTACCTTTCCCATTTAATAAGTGCACATCTTAGTGTGTAAAAGGTGGAAAGACATACTTCTGCCATTTTCTTAGCAGGTCTTAATTTTGGCTTACCCCTCATAGTGAAATCTTAGCTGTGCGAAATGAGTCTGGTTCCAGCAGAATAAAGCCCTACCACAATGCAGTAAGTGAGGTTCAAATATTCAACGGCTTAAAATGCAAGGTTGTATTATTGTGAAGCTAACAAAAACTAGTATCTTCCAGACAGTGAGTGCGGAAGAAAAAGGGAAAATATTTACTTACTGCATTTATTAGATAGTATCTTTCATTAAGGAGCTCTAGTGGCACAGTGCCTAAGGTACCTGACTGCTAACCAGAAGGCTGGCAGTTCTAGCCCACCAGCTGCTCTATGGAAGGAAGATGGGGCAATCTGCCTCCGTAAAGATTTACAGTCTTGGAAACCCAATGGGGCTTACTATGAATTGGAATCAAATCAGTGGCAGTGAATTTTTTTTTTTTTTTTTTGCTATCTTTCATTTAGGAGCTCTGGTAACATAGTGCCTAAGGCACTTGACTGCTAACCAGAAAGCTGGTGGTTCAAACCCACCAGCCACTCCTCTGAAGGAAGACTGAACAATCTACTTCCGTAGTAATACTGCCTCGGCAACCCAAAGAGGGGTCGCTATGAGTTGGGGCCGACTCCACAGCACATAACAACAACTACAACATCTTTCATTAGAGATAGGGTAACTGTTATACACAGAATAGGTATACTTTTTTACTGCCAAATGATATTCCATTTTAAGTATATACCACATTTTATTAACACAGACTTACCATATGACCCAGCAATTCCATCTTTAGGTATATATCCAAGAAAAATGAAATATATTCACACAAAAACTTGTATACAAATGTTTATAGCAGCATTATTCATAATAAATAGTAAAAAAGGTGGGAACATCAACTGAAGAATGAAAAAAATATGCCTGTTTCCAGTAAGACTTGGAGCTGAGATGAAGTTGAGAGCTAATCATCACATTATCTAAATCTAGTCATTTGTTGGGCTTTATTTACTTATTTTTTATATAACCTATAAAAGTTTCTTCACCTAGCATTCAACAGAGCAGAGATCTGTTCTAATCGTGGATTGAAAAAACTTGCCAAGTTGAACTACGGAGAACTATACTACACTACACTGTTCAGGCAACTTAAAGGATTATCTAGAGTAATGTGGCAAATGTTGACCAGCTGTCCCTTAACCTGCAATTTTTCTGTGTTGCAGTTCATAAAGCAATATGCCTAGTCACATAAAGGAAGTTTAGTAGAGGTTGTAAGCAGAGTTTACTTTCTGCTGGAAGAGTTCACTTTTTCTATTTTATGCAAGAGGAGGAAGTTGAACGGGATTTGGAATAATAGGGAGTGTTTGGTCTTGAGGCATGTGAGGAAAAGCAGCACTGCAGACAGAGAATGTAAGTAAAATCGGTTGATGTTAACTGGAAGAATGCGGTATGAGGCTAGAAAAGTAAGTTAGGGTTAGGATTTTTAAAATAAGTTTTATTGAGTATAATTTATATACATTATCCACTCATTTAAAGTATACAATTCAATGGTGGTTCATATATACAGAGTTGTGCAACCATTACCACAATAAAATTTTAGAACATTTCCATTACTCCTAAAAGAAATCCTGCACCCATTAGCAGTCACACCCCATTTCAATTCCCATTCCCATGCCACAGCCACCAGTTATCTTTCTGTCTCTATGGAGTTACCTATTCTGGATAGTTCATATAAGCAGGATCCTATAACATATGAGCTTTTGTGACTGGTTTCTTTCACTTAGTATGTTATCAAGGTCCATCCATGTTGTAGCACCTAAAGTTACTTATACTTTTTTATTGCCAAATGATATTCCATTTTAAGTATATACCACATTTTATTTTTTTCATTCTTCAGTTGATGTTCCCACCTTTTTTTGCTATTTATTATGAATAATGTTGCTGTAAACATTTGTATACAAGTTTTTGTGTGAATATATTTCATTTTTCTTGGATATATACCTAAAAATGGAATTGCTGGGTCATATGGTAAGTCTATGTTAACATTTTGAGAAACTGCCAGAGTGTTTTCAAAGGTGGCTGCACTATTCTACATTCACCCTCACAATCACTGCTGTGTTTGAGCCCACTGTTGCAGCCACTGTGCCAATCCATCTCACTGACAGTCTTCCTCTTTTTCGCTGACTCCTGCTTTTACCATGGTATCTACCACATGCCAGACACTGCATCCAGTACCTGATGGTGGTTAACAGTAAACACTTGTAGCTTAGATGGGTTGTCATCAAAACAGTTTGTTTATATGTATTTGATCTTTTTAACTGTTCTCTCTTCATCTAAAAAAAGACACTCTACAATTCCTCCTAGTGGCTAATGATATTTTACAGAATTCTTATATAAACTGTTCTCCCCAAACAACAACAACAAAAAAAAAACCCATTGCCGTCGAGTTGACTCACGGTGACCTCACGTGTTAGAGAGCAGCACTGCGCTCTATATGGTTTTCAAGGCTGTTTGTGACCTTTCAGAAGTGGTCTGCCAGGCCTTTCTTCCAAGTCACATATGGGCAGGGCCAGACCACCAAACTTTCAGTTAGTGGTAGAACACATAACTGTTTGCAAACCCAGAGACTCCACTCTCAAATGAATATTTAAATCAATGCCTCTTTCCACATCAAATTTTTGTGCCCATATTCAATTTTATTACATATATTTTGATACAAATAAACCCTTGGTCATTCACTACTTCATTCTTAATGCCCACAGTGTTTTTTTTTTTTTTTTTTTCCCCAGAAGAGAAATCAATTTCGATAAGAAGATGACAAAAAGAGGCCTGTTGTCTTTGACTTTACTGAGAGTTTTCACCTTGGTGAGGTCACTACAATTTCAAAATAAAACACAAGTGATTGTGTTGTGCATATTTCATATTATACTGCAGAGCCACCAGAACTTTGATTTTTCAAATGCATTTTTGCATAAAAGTGAACATTTAAGAAAGTACAACTCTAAAACTAAACAAGTTAATCTATCAAATTATTTCTAAGCTCAAAGTTTGACATGTTTCATATACTAAATTCTTGATTGTGATAAAAGCACAAGGAAGAAAATGAACAGTGGAGATAAGAAAACAAAACTGTTACTCCTCCTCTATGGTTGTCTACATGCTGCACATTTTAACTCTGCTAGCTAAACCAGATGGGAGCTCTGGTGGCATAGTGCCTAAGGCATTTGACTGCTAACCAGAAGGCTGGTGGTTCAAACCCACCAGCCACTCCTTGGAAGGAAGGTTGGGCAATCTACTTCTGTAGTGATATTGCCTCAGAAACCCAAGGAGGAGTCACTATGAGTCAGATCTGACTCAACGGCAGTGTGTTTGGTTTTTTTTGTTAGCTAAACCAGGAAGAGGTTCTGAGATAAACAGTCAGAATCCAACCCATTAACTCATAGCCATCGAGTCGACTCTGATTCATAGTGACTCTAAAGGACAGAGTAGAACTGCCCCATAAGGCTTCCAAGGCTGAAATCTTTACAGAAATAGACTGCCACATTTTTCTCCCACAGAGAAGCTGGTGGATTTGAATCGCTGACCTTTTGGTTAGCAGCCAAATGCTTAACCACTACCCTTGACGTCTGTTAATCCATGTGACAAACATTTCTCGAGCACCTACTATTTGATTTAGTTCATTATCTCACTCAGTTCTGAAAATAACCATGCAAAGTACATATTAGCATTATTCTAACCATCTTACACATGACAGTCTGTTTGAGTAGCTAGAGCAAGATCACTTGGTCACTAAGTAGTGAAGTCAGGGCAAGAACCTGTTTTCTGACCCTCAGTTACTGAAGTCTTCTAATTTCTACGCAGTAAGGTGATCTGGGTTCAAGTTCCAGCTCTAGCACT